AAGAAAAAGAGAATGCGAGCGATACACAGGGACAGAGGAGAGAGAGAGAGGGAGAGAGAGAGAGAGAGAGAGAGAGAGAGAGAGAGAGAGAGAGAGAGAGTGCTCGATTGAATTTATGACGTTCTTTTCTTCAAATTGTGATTCCTCCAACTACAAAAACGGAGGAAAAACGATCGTTCATCGAAAAGACATCCGCAATTTTCATTTAGAGGCTAACCTCGAAACTAGATCAATGATTTATGTCTGTCTAGATCAAGACCTAGGCCATAGATCTAGAAGAACATAGGTCTACCCTGAGCTAAGAGGGCGCTGAAACTTTCTGAAATCACAAAAGAGTTCCCCTACCGGGTCTGTATACACTCCCATCTTATAAAGGAGTCCTATACTATACTTCACAGCGCTTAGACCGCCGGTACTCACAGGTTCATCGCCCTGTCACGAGGGCGAACCTGTCAAGACGCTTGTTTTGTATGAGTAATATTGATTTATTTTCAAGGTGACACAGCGTTCATAATGCATAACCTGCATGTTACAAATGTTGCGGGAAAATTTCTGGGCGGTAACGAAAGCAGATCTTGATTCTTCCCGATCGAGCCTCAGTGTCACACATACACTTCCGCCACAGCGGTTCAATTGCGTTTCCTCTTCAGGATTCATAAACCATACAGTCTAGATAGCTACACATTACACTGGCCCAATCCTTTCCCGACCTGGTGGTAAATCTTGAAAACAAAAATAATGAGCATTTGAGGTTTATGTAGTGTAGGCTACTCTGCTGCACAAGTTTTTAAGTTCATGAAGTTAGGCTCTTCATTTGACACAGACTTAGGGTAGCCCATTCATTTCAATTCTATTCTTGGCTAGATTTCTAGATTTTAGCTGAAATAAAAGTTAGGCCCAGGCCCAAGTCCAATCCTTAATAATTACTGTGCACCAACAATGACTACAAAAGATGGCAGTCCCCACGCAAAGAGGTAAAATGGAAGATTAGCAGACCACCTGGGACCAGGCGTGGCGTCACTACTCTCACTAGGCATAGATCGGTGATTTTGTAGTTTCGTTCGTTAAAGTCCAAAGCGGAACGCCAGAGACCCTGATTGGCCTGAATTGTCAGGTATTCGAAGAGAAAATCAAAATTCAAGCAAAGAAAGGCCCTTTATCGACAGTTCCCACCCCCAATTATTATTCGCCGGTTTGGGCCCCAAGAGTCGAGTAGGGGGGTTTGACCCCTTGATACATGTGTATGCAGCATAGATTCTATAGGCTATATGGAGGGAGGTTCACGGTAGATCTACAATCTATTATTTTTGTTCCTTTAGCAGGGGGGCGACCCCCTCTCTGTACCCCCCGTTTTTGTTGGCATATTTCCGTGTAGTCTATTCTATTGGGGGGTGATCCCCTCTCTGCAACCCCCACCCCCCCCCTTTTGCTGGCATTTTTATTTCCATGTAAATCTAACCAATCTACACCCCCCTCTTTTGGGAGGACTTCCGTAACGAGCGACCACTATGAGGAGCAGAATTGAGGGCTTGGGGTAGGGTTAGGGTTAAGTCTAGGCCTCTTCTTTATTGTTTGATGGGGTAACGAGCGACCACTGAGACAGAGCAGAATTGAGGGCTTGGGGTAGGGGAAGGGTTAGGTCTAGAGTGGTGTCGCCGGTACGCGTGCACTTCGCGATCGTTGAACGTATTTTCCGCCATTTCCGGCTTTGTACTTTCGTTTTTAGCTATTCCATTCAAGAAACTATTGACCTATAAAATGGTCTTGCTCATAGTCGCCAGATTTCTTAAACTTAAACGTTGTGTGCCGAACAGTTTTTCCAACCTAGGGTGTTGTCTTCACTGAGCGTGCATTTCTTCTCAGTGCGTGCATGGGATTCTTCACTGTGCGTGCACCCATATATACACGTTGAAAGCCAAAAGAAGAGGAATCTGATAACATTACTGCATTAAATGACCACACAGGAAGATAACAAGTCACTTTAGAAGCAAAGTAAGGCAATTTTAATTAGAATCTAAACTAATTTAATTTAGGGGGTATAAATAGTTCAAATACATAGTGAAAAAAAATCAAACAGAATTTTTCACTACTAAAATCCACATTTTCCTACTCTTCATCACTCATTCCTCTGATCTTTCCATCTTTCACACAGTCCACATGCCACCATCCATGACATTCTTCAAACTGCAACCAAATAATCTCTAAAATTGAGTCTACTTTTTTTCTTAGTATTCTACTATATATTTCATTGTGCACGCGCAGAGAAAACTCGAGTTTTTTCAGTCTTCACAACGCGTGCACCCCCCCGATCCCGAAACCTGCAATACAACTTGGCATAGAACTCGATAAAAGGTCACGTGAAACACTCAAGGAAGGAGTAGGCACATTTTTTAAGCTAGGGGGCGCGCACAGTCTATTTGAACCAATCAGAGGCAAATAGGTCATAAAAACTAGTTCACAGGTCAGCGTTGAATGTCAACTTGCCACAGCTGATAAAAACACTCTCGATGATCCCTTGTCGGCAAACGAGTGATGGAAGTAAACAAAAATGGCTGCTGCACACACTGACGCATTCAATCAAACGCAAATTGAGGCTAAAAACAAAGGAAAACAAAAGTGCACGCACCGAGAAGGCGCACGCGCAGGGGCTACACCACTCTAGGCCTCTTCTTTGTTTGATGGGGTGGTCGCTCGTTACGGAAGTCCCTTTTTTTTTCTTCTTTTCCTCCTCCCGACTGACCAACAGTCCCATAAATTATAATTTGTAAAACTGCTTTGAAGTTGTTTAAAAAAAAATTTATTAGTCTAATTAGTGATGAAGAATGCAGGAGGGGGGGGGGGTTTAGATATAGATCTAACCCTCCAGCACGGCAATTTTCATACATTTCCATCTTTAGACTTGGGTGCCATGCGGTTGGCTATGATCCAGATGTAATCACATGATCGGAGGGGAATCCTGGTCTGACGTCAAACAAGATGGGCGCCGTATCTAAAAATAGTTTGCGCCTGTCTACGTTTAAAATCGCATGTCATGCAGTCACACATGCCTCTTTGAACATTAGCAGACCACCACTAGATCTACTCTGGTAGCCCAAGCCAAGTCTAAAAGTCCTAGGGCGCGCTGGGTGGTAATAGGGTGTAAGAAACACTTCACAGAAAAAAAGAGGGGAAGGACTTCCGTAACGAGCGACCACCCCAAAAACAATGAAAAAGAGACCTAGTCTGGATTCGGTAAATTTTTACTTTCACTCCCGCACACAGATGCACTGTTTCAGGGGTCAAACTGCTGTACTGTTTGCTGCAGATCACACATAAGCCACTAAAACTGTCGCAAATCAATTATTTTCAAATCTAACTGTAAAATATCAAATTATGGGTGTAAAAACAGAGGGGCATGCCCCCCTGTAACCCCCCAGATTTTCTTTTACCCCAGTGGGGCAGGCCCCCCTGGAACCCCCCGATTTGGTCCAAAAAAGCATGTCTATCTCGGTTAAAAACAATCAAATATTAAAAAACCCCCATTAATTTGCGACGGAAATGAAGTTGATATTCGTGTTCAGCGCATTAATATGTAGTAGAAAATAGACAACTGGTAGCTGAGTGTGAGACGGGAGGGAAAGTAAAAAAATACCCTAGATTCTAGTTACGAAAATCCTCCCACTGCATGTGGCTTCATATGAATTGGACCATCAAATTCTCAATCGAAATCAATGTACCATATGAGGGGCAAGAATTCTGCTTGATCTAGAGACATGATCTAATAAAACATGCCATGTGCAAACACATGGCCCATGGCATGGCATGGGTGTGCCAGCTATTCCGATAAGCCTTGCGGCTTGCCTGCTACTTAGGCTAAGGCCTTCTTCGCCTAAAACTTCACCATGCAATCAATTTTCCTGGGATCTTAATTCACATCTACAGATCTAACCGTTTGATAGGAACTGCATACTGCGGCTTACCCATACTGCAATGATTAAGCCTAGAATCTAGATAGATATATCTCCAAATCGAGAAAAGCAACAAAAAAAAAAAAAGAAAAAAAAAGCCATGCTTGAAAACAAGAAGACGGAATCTATCTTTTCGTTTCAATGTCTATGAAGAAATGAGAAAATTTAACTCACCTTAGCTCTCATTTTTCCTCAATAGACCTGTAAAGAAAAAGAAAAAAACATTCTAAATACAAATTTCAAAATAAAAAGATCAAAAACATAAGATTGTAAATAGATGTCAATAGATTTTTAAAGCGAGCGTCTGAAACACGTCTTACCTAGGGCTTGAGGTTTATTAGAAAGGACGGAAGCGGATGTTGAGTATCCAACCTCGATTTCAAACGGAAATAGGCCTTGGCCCTGACAGGAATGCCGTGTTGAGTTTTATACCATATTATTATGGTACCTCTATTTGGTTTCAAGCTTCAATTAGCCTAACATTATTATAAATACATGTACTCTAGTCTAAGGTATCAAATAAGCACCCTCTCCCCAGCTTATTGATTTTCAGCTTTTTTTTGCGCGCCTCCCCCCGGCTCCTTATTCCATACCCCTCGTTTACTCTTTTCCCAGCTTGTGAAACATTATAATCTAGGGTCTAGAATCAAGATAATTATAATATCTGAATGAAACTTATTTTTTGTTGTTGTTGTAAATAGCAAATTACCCTCAGTATCGGCTACCTCAATTTTCTGTGCATGTTAAAAACTTGTAATATTTAGTTTATATATTTAATGAAACTGGTTTGTTCCTAAATGGGAAAAGTTGTCACAATTTTATTAATTACCAAAATCACTAAAATTTAATGATCTCTTGTTCTTCTATTCATTGAAGGAGAAATACAACAGATTTGTTCCTACTAGTACAGCGGTATGAGGTTGAATGAG